GACCGTAATTGTACTAACAGTAAATTAACGTAATTATACTGTCAATGACAGTAAATTAACGTAATTGTACTGCCGTTGACAACACATTTATGTAATTGTGCTGCCGTTGACAGTAAATTAATGTAATATTTTTTTTTTTTGTTTTTTTTTTTTTTTGATTTGTTGACAAGTCAACGTAATTATATTACTGTCGTTGACAGTAAAATAACTGTAAACACAATAATATTACTGTCAACAACATCAATATTATTATTTTTTTGGGTTTTTTGTTTTGTTTAAGTTATTCACGGAGTAACATAATAATATTACTTTCTATTATTGTAATATTACTGTAAACACAATAATATTACTGTGGTTGACGGTAATATTACTGTTGTTATAGTAATATTGCTGTCGACCACATCAATATTATTATTTTGTTTGGATTTTTTGTTTGTTTGTGTTATTCATGGAGTAACGTAATAATATTACTGTATATTATTGTAATATTACTGTGGTTGACGGTAATATTATGTTGTTATAGTAATATTACTGTCACTCACAGTAATATTAATTCTTTTGGTTTCTTATTATGTTTACATTTGTTGAACGGTCAACATAGTAATATTACTCTATTACACAATAATAATGAGTTTTGTTGTGTTAATATTACTGTGGTAGAGATTAATATTGCAATATTACTGTGTTAAACAGTAGTTTAGTTTAACTTTACTGTGTTTAACAGTAATATAGTTAATATTACTGTCAATCACAGCAATATTGCTGTTTAAACGAATAAAAAAAGGTTACAGAAAGAAAGAAAAGAAGAAAAAAAGAAAAAAAAAATCGAAAAAGTCATCGCCGGAGACTGGCGAAAAAATCCGGAAGGAAAAAAAAAGAAAAAAAAAATTGAAAAAGTCAACGCCGGAATCCGGCGGGAAAAAAAAGTTTTTGAAAAAAAAAAGTTTTGGGTCAAAATTGAATAATTTGTGAAATTTGGGGTCAAATTGAGGTTAAATAAAGTTAAGGATGAAATTGGAGCATATTAAAGTATGAGGAGTTATTTTAGTCATTTACAAAAATCTGGACCATATGTGGACTTATTGTTAAAGGAGTTTTTTGTCTTTATATCTTTATAAGTAAGTACCCATTGATGGGCTTATTTGTGAAGTCCTCATTATAATACATAGATTTCACACCTGGTGTGTAATCTATATATTATATAAAAAGAGGATCTATGCCCTCTTTGAATGACATGTGGCAAATTCCTATGTCATTTTCTCAAATCGCTTAGTTGGCATTAAATTGATGATGTGTAATACTCAATTGATTATTAGACATTTTAATCTTGGTATGTTTTTAAGTTCTTTCCTATTTAATATTTGCACATTCATTTAACAATTACCACATATATATATGGGTTTATTAGAGATAACCCCCTTTTTCATATTTTCTAATGAGGTAGATCCAATTTTTTTCCCCTTTTTGAGATAGACCCAATTTTGCCAACTTGGCAAAATATATTATATTATTTTCCTTTAATACCCCTGTTTTATTTTTATACGGCATTTATTTCCTTTACTACGTGATTTGAGATTTGCTGATACGTTGCCTAAAATCACGGAATAAAATTGCGTGAGATCATTGGCCGTTATATCAAATCGTGTACAATATTTTTCGAAGGTTCTCTTCAGCGTTCCAGCGGTTTTTTATCGTCTTTGAAGATTTCTGCACCGTCGTTGGAATAGGATCGAATTTGAGCGTTCGTTGTTGGACGTTGTTAACCGGGTATGAATGCGTTATTCGTTTTTATTTTTCATATATACATCGTTATTTTTTGCGGATGATGTTTGTTTGGAAGAGGATTGACAGAGTTAGAAGAGGATGGTTCACGTAGATCGGACCAGAGTTGTTTTATATGAGCTTCGTAGTTGGTTTATGCAATAATCGGAATAATTGTCCGCTGTGGTCGAGTTCATGTTTTTTGATCCCGATCGATAGTTGGTTTATTTGTTTATAACAGCCGATTTAAGTGTGCTGGGTAGTACATTAAAATATAGTTCGTAGTCTTTTTTAAATTAGCGTATGGATTTTGCATTTTAAGTTTATTTTTGATGATAATAATGTATTGTCATTCAAATGTATTTGCAGTCTATTTAATCATTTTTTAGTATTCTGCATTTTTAATTTTGTTTCATGATTTTAGGTTTTTTCGATGGCGAATTTCGTACGGATATTGTGGAGGTTTGGTGGGTTGGTTGCTATAAAGAGGTGTTTACGATGTAATGGCTCGGTAACTTCGGTTAAGTTTTAAACCGTTGTAATACAGTAGTATACTATTATGAATACCGTATGATACTACCATTATCATTTTATTATACTATTATGAGATTATTAATGTACTAAAGTTTTTTAACTCGACATATTGGTTTGATTGTGTTATGATGTGTTTTATGTATTTTATCAAAACCCTAGATTGAAATTATGAGATTATTAATGTACTATTTTATTGGTTATGTTGGAATACTTTACGTTGGTGTTGTTCTCAATGTTCTTGTCATTTCAGTGGTATATTGTTTGTAACACAATTCATATCACTACTATAACCGTAATATACTATCATAGCAGATCAATGTACTATGTTGAAATTATTAATATACTATGTGGTTGAATAATACGGGATCCATAGTCGATTAACAAGATCCATAGTCGAATTAGATCAATAAGATAGTCTATTACATGATATAAGGAAAATTACCCTAATTGATTAGTATTTCAAACAAACATATTATTCAGTTTCCATATATATTATTATTTTTTCATATATATTATTATTTACCCTAATCGTTTTCATATAATAAGGAAAATTACCCTAATTGATTAGTATTTCAAACAAACATATTATTCAGTTTCCATATATATTATTATTTTTCCAATAGTCAATTAACTAGACCCATAGTCGAATTAGATACATGGGATAGTCTATTAAAAGATATGAGATAGTCTATTAATTTTAAAACACAAATCCGCCGCCGTCACTTCTCAAATCTAGGGTTTTGATGATTCTTCGGCTCATAGTCGATTAACGAGATCCATAGTAAAATTATACCAGTGGGATAGTCTATTAAATGATATGGGATAGTATATTAATACAGATGTAATTCGACTATGTATCTCGTTAATCAACTATGGGCCGAAGAATTATCAAAACCCTAGATTTGAGTAATCCTAGATTTGAGTAACCCTAGATTGTAGCAGTGACGGCGACGGCGGCGGCCAACGACGATATCACTTATGGTGGATGTCCTGCCCATCAATTGTTGCAATATCACTGATTTAGTGCTCGAATTCGGTATGCGATTATAACAGATCTGCAATTACACAAAGGTGATAGTCGATTTAGCCAAAACATATCAAGAAATCGATGGATGATAGCGATTCAGCGAGTGGCGACGACGTACCTACGGCAGCTTGCTCGGAGTGCACGAAAATCGTCGTTTCACGGCAGTGCAGACGTCTTCCCCTTTCAATCGGCCGTATCGGGAAGTTGTTCTGGGAGGTTTTGCAGTTTATTCGATAGTGGGTTTGGGATGATAGTGATTTAACGGGAAAATAGGAAGGGATTTGATTTTATTTCAAAAGGTAAAGTAACGGGTTTTGTGGGATTTGATTGAGGGTAATTATGTAATTATGTATTCTTAATTAATGAAAATCGTTATTTAAAATATACTCTTAACTCTAAACAATGATACGTACAATACTAATATTAATTTAATATTGATATTAATACTAAATCTAATACAAATACTAACACTAATACAAATATTAATACTAATACCAATACTAATATTAATGGTTAATACGAATACTAATACTAATATATATATATATATATATATATATATATATATATATATATATATATATATATATATATATATATATATATATATATTTTTCTTTAGATAACGCGTTGAATTTATATATTGACACTAATAAATAATTACATCTTATTCATCTGGTAATGGTTGATTTGGCAGTAATTTCCTGTGTTGTTGTATCAAGATATTCAGATTAATGCGTAAGAGTGGTGTTCTGAATAAATCTCCACTCATGGAGTTGCTTGTGGCATTTAGTTTGACTGTTCCAACGTTGTCAGTTTGTATTTATGTGGATTTTTTGTGATAAAATGAAATGCAATTGTTTTTTTTTTTTGTTTTTTTGATCATTTTAAATTTAAATCTTCGATATTTTTTAATTCATTGGTTTTTTAAATTAGTGCAATTATTTGACCTTCGAATTAATCCCTGTTTCCGGTCACGGTCAATTGTACGTACCGTTGTCTCGAGTGAAGAGTATATATATATACAGGTTATTCGTCTTCTGGTCGTAGATCTAATTGTAGTTCTGTGGTCTTCTTTAACAACATTCAGATTAATGTGCAAGACTGGTGCATTACTTTGATTTCAATCTCGGAGTTACTTGCTACATTCAAACGTGGATGGTGCTTAGAACATTATCCATTTATTTTTTATGGGGACTTTTGATTGATAAATTAAGATACGAATTTGTTATTTATTGTTCAATTGTATTTTTTTACATTCTCGACATATTTTTTATTCATTGGTTATCTACATTAACTCATTCTAAGTTTTTTAATTAATCCCCGTGCATCGCACGGGTGAGTTACTAGTTTGTTTATACGTATAAATAGGAATAAAGAATCCATTTCATTTAAATAACAACAATCATATTTTCTTCTAATTATTTCTATTTATCCTTGTAAAGAATTAATAGGCAGATAAAATTTTAAAGTAATTAATAAAAGGGGAAATGAGTGATAACCCCCTAGTTTTGAAAATATATATGAGGAGGTCCAAAGAATTTTTCCTTCCTAGTCAAAAACCCTAATTCTGAACTTATTTTGTGAGACCCCCTGAACAATATAAAATACCTGTTTTGCCCTTTTAATTCAATTCAATAAATAACCTAATCGCCTAACCCCTCTCTTCCATTCACACGTCCGCCGTTTACATCCCTCCTCTCGGTTTCTCTTTATCTCTCCCTTTCTCTCTAACTCTCTCTCGCCACTGTTCTTATTTCGAGAGAAAAATATTTATCCAAATCTCTCGGTTGGTTCGGATTCAGGTTCCCTTCAAATTCGAAACCCTAGGTTTCAGAGAAAAATCGCAAATGGTCATCGGAAGAACTTCCGTCGCTGCGAGAGATTTCCAGATTGTTCCGGTGGCGGAGATGGAGCCGTTGTCTTCTGACCATCATTCACCTGAGTGCCTTTCATGGAAACAGGTGCTTATTAATTACTTATATATTATAAATTATGTTTTTCTTTTAATTTTTGACTAATATTGTAATTCTGAATATTCATAAGGTGCTAAACTGTGTTAGTGATAATTTTTAATAATCAAATTGGATATTTATCTCAGATAAATTTTTGGAATACATGCTACTGTAGTACTGTTGTATCTGGAGAATTGTTGGACCAAATAGATAAGAATTAACTCAAAGAGCCAGTGCAATTTATTATATTACTGAGCTTATGATTTAATTTGTAGATTTATATATATTTTTAATTTTTTTTATAGATGGTCAGCAAATTGGTGCTGCAAATTGAAATCTCTGGTGTGGAATGGCGACAGTGCCATAATTAGATCAGTGCTTGATGACATTACTCAAAAGTATAGTCGTCCGTATAAGGTTTGATTTAATTTTCATTTTCGATTTTAGTGTTCGTTTTCTCTAACTCGTATATTTTGCCGCAGGTTGCTACTTCATACAATAAGGAATGATGGGGAATAGTACACTATGAAGTTAAATTTATTAAGAGTATAGAACATTGTAGATGACTATAGTCATATACAGTAACATTACTACATGTTACTGTAGTCGACTATAGTTATATATAGTAACATTACTACATGTTACTGTAGTCGACTATAGTCATATATAGTAACATTACTACATGTTACTGTAGTCGACTATAGTCATATATAGTAACATTACTACATGCTACTGTAGTTGACTATAGTCATATATAGTAGTAACATATAGCAACATGTAGTCATGTGTGGGCTATGTGTTTTTTTTAAATGAAGAGTGATGATGATTTGTTTTTTGTTGAAGAACATGTGCATGTTATTGTGTATTTCAATCTATATTTGTACATATTGATTTATAAAATCAAGATTTAAATTGTGATCTTTGTTGTTTTGTGTCGATGATGTTTTTTTGTATATAATCAGCGATCTACATAATCGGTCGACTATATATAACTATACATAATTGTATATAATTTTGGAGTAAAAAGAAGGTACATGACTATATATAACTCTATGTGACTAGATAACATATAACATACTATAGTCATATGAAGTCAATATCTGTACAGGAAACTTGCTCAAAAATTATTTTAAAAAAAATTAAAAAAAAATTAAAAATTCGAAAAATTTAAAAAATTAAAAAAAATTAAAAAATTAAAAAAAAAATAAAATTTTAAAAAAAATTAAAAATAATAAGAAAATAAACATTTATATTGTTTTATTAAAAAAATATATAAAAATGATACATGCAGACCCAAGAAGGCTAAATGCAGTCGGGTAATGGGCATTATGCTGAATGCAGGGGTAATTATATTGAATGCAGTTGGCAAAAATTGCAATTAAGGGCACAATAGTACTTTTGCCTCTCCAGGGGTGTATCTCAAAGGAAGAATTTTAAGGGTGGACATATCCCTATATATTTTCCATACTAGGGGTGTATATCAAATGGACCCTTAATAAAATAGTCTTGTAAAGAATTGAATGACAAAACCAAGCCAAACAAACAGAAACAAATAAACTTTGAAGGATCACTCACAAATGGTAATTAATTTTCTCTCCATTTTCAATGCAAAGCGGATATATTTGCTGGTTTCTTGTGGCAATTCTGACAGAGTTATAGGACGCCATTCTACTCCATTCAACTCGCAAATTTCGAAGCTCACTTGCTCCAAATCACGCAACCACGACTGTCTGAATTGATCATCTAATTGGTCTCCACTACTTTCTCTCTGCGTTAGAATCTTCCACACACACTCAATGTGCTCCCTTTCGGCAGCTCTGACGCCGTAGTAACCAATGTTTCTCGGACGACAAATACTAAACGTGCCGTTTAAAAGACACGAATAGGAAGATAATCGACAATGCAAACTCAACCTCTCCACCGCAATCGGTTTACCACAACCATTGATGTCGTGCATCAAATCTTGAATTTCGACCTCATCGTTCATCTTAGTAATTCCGAGAGTAATTTGAGACTGGCTTAATGAGTTGAGCAGTTGTTTTAGCTTGAGGAGCCACGACGATGGAGAACCGTACGCATGATGCATATATGTTACTTCCATATCGGAACACCACTTCCTGGAAGAAGTAGTTGTTGCAAAAGAGATTGATGGGGTAAAGTCTCCTTGATACTCAAAAGATTCTATATTCGGTGCATCGACAAATATAGAATAGGTTGGTATCTTTGAGTCCATCGCAATGGATAATGGTGAAGCGTTTGAGGCTCGGGAATTTACACCACGAAAAGTTGTCCCATGACAACAATTCCACACCGAATAGAAACAATTCATCCAGATTACGAAAATCCGCTCCTTTGTGCAACCTAAGATTACCGCAAGAAATATTGATGCTTTCAAGAGATGGTGGATATATTTCGATGCTACAAAATTCCTCTTTTCCGAGGGTTTCGTAAAACCTCCACAAAAGGAAAATTTCTTGAGACAACAAAGATTATTCGCCTTGATGTTGCTTAACCCTTTGCATAATCTGAGAACCGCTGTTTCGAACAAATTACAATTTGTAAAGTGCCATATTTGATATACATCCCTAGGTGCCTAATAAATTAGGGATAAATCCAAAGGGAAATCATCCTTGTGAATACCCCTGGAAAGGCAAAAGTACTATACTGTCCTTATATGAATTTCCGGATAGCATCTTTACTGATTTTTTAACTTTATTTTATTTTATTTTAATTTTTTTAGAAACCTGCTTGTTTAATTTTTTATTTTTATTTTTATATTTTTTATTAATTTTTTTTATTTTTTTTTTAATCAATATGTTTACTGTATTGAAAATAATATGTCACTGTAGTAAACTATAGTCATTCTTAGTTCTGTTCTTTTTTGTACCCCAAATTTTTAGTCGATTAATTATGTACACACGCGAATATTGGTTTATACAAAAAAAATCCATAAACCACAACAACAAAAATTTATAATTTCAATATTTAATATTATAAATCACCTCATAAACCAACATATACATATTGAAAATAAACAGATATATCCATATGTAACTACATGTTACTATATATAACCAGTAATGTATACAGTCTGTAGAACAATGTAACTTGAAGCAGATGTAACTTCAACCAAATTTTTTGACACCTTCAAGAAGACAAGGAAGAGAGAAACGATTGTAAAGTTGCTAGGGTTTAAAACTGATTTAAAAAGATATTGTAGGTACATCAAATTGGCCTGGGACATGGCCGACACTTATAGAAAACCAAGGAAGTAAAGGTTTTCGGCCTCCAATTTCAGAAGGCCCCAAAATATATATATATATATATATATATATATATATATAACAACTATGTGGTTTATTTTGGTAGTTCACGCCACCCAACACTCACCTGCAACTTAAATAAAAAAATTATTTATTCTGATGGTAGAAGGAAATGCAAAAAACACTTTTACTAAAATTAAAATATCTCTCAACTGTACTTACTGTAATACTTTTTGTGCGCCTCACCAAAATTAAAAGATATATTTTCTGTAAATTAATTTCAATTTGCAGCCTGCAGTATTATTTGTCTTGCATCAAAATTTTAGGAAAAGGGGATATAGACTCTTATTTACAACTGTAGATTTATATTATCTATTTTTTGCGTTTTTCCTAGGCTAAAAATCTTTGGAGTTGATCCAAAAAATTGGTGTTTTCAAGGAGAGGGCTACGGACTACATCTTTTGATTTTTGACATACAATTGCTAATAATGGGTCCTAAAAAATATACGTGTGGGAATAAGAAAAATAAAAAGAAACTAAAAATTGAGAAATTTGCGCAATCTCTACCAACAAAAAAGAAGTTTGTAACATCTGGCAATATTAGTACAATAGGTTAGGGTTCAACATCAGTTGAAAATTCGATGAGCACTGATTTTCCAGTTGAGGCAGGATATAATTTGAATGTTGATGACGATAATGAAGATCAAGTGAAAGAAGAAGATGAGGTCTTGGTGAATGAAGAACCTAATCAACAGAATGACGAAATTTTAACATATGCAGGCTCAGCCAAGTGGATAGTGTCTGGATTAATAGTGCTATTCATGTAATCAGCAGTCATTTTTTCAGTCATGTAATCCTTGTGTAATACTTCGGTGGCTAGTCTGATTATCTGGTCTCTCATATCTGCTTCGCGGTCTACCTGTGCTTCGGGTATTTATGGTTCTTCAACGTGCATGGTACTCCAAAATGGATGTAGATCTATAGTTATAAACGTATTACGTTGCTGGATTTTCAACGAAATTTGGCACGCACACGAAAGTCAATGAGTAACCCACAGAATGTGATCACAACTAGATGGGTCTTCTACCCCCGCTTTACCGAGCTCATCATCAAGCAAATTTAACGCATCATGTGTGACTTTGCATATCAAGCCCTGAAATACCGGATACGATGCTTCATGCATCCTGATTAAGCTGAATTTTGAAAACTCACCATTGATCATGGTAAGTTGACGCTCGACCCCGGAATCAACCTAATATTGAATGGTGTTCACAGCGCCGGTAGAAGCACAAATCCAACCATTCGACGAATTGTGATCACTTTCCACTCTCTTGATAGCCATAAAAATAAAAACTAATAACTAAAAACACCAACAATATATTATAAAATACAGGCCGAAAATGAACCGAAAATACCAATTAGTCGACGTGTTCCCAAAATGCAAAATCTTATTAGTTCATGCTTTGACGATTTTTTGCTTGTATATTAGCCAAGTATCTTTAAGGTGTGATATTAGTTTGGGGTAACAATCATAGCGTCTAACCATTTCCTCGTAATTTTCATAGTAATCTTCTTCTGTTTTTTTTTTCCACTAATGTTGCCCAATGTCTGCGTCGGAATATAACCCCGTGTTTACTACTACCAATAAATTTCGATGCATTTTTATCCACATTTCTATTGATGTGAAACAGACACAAGAAATGTGCAGAATCTGAAAAAATTTGGGGCATTGCTTTAATGAATTCACGATCCGTCAATATCACATCAGGTACCAGCCCGCCCAATGCACATTTCAAACAACTCAAAGCCCACGCATATGTGTCTGCATCTTCATGTGACATGAAAGCAACAACAATTGTAAAATAGTAACCAACAGAGGTAATCCCAACTATTTCCAGAAGTGGCATCTCATACCTACATAAAATATTTTTAAGTCTCAAAACATAAATATCAAATGCAATCAATGTATAATAACCCAATACTAAATACTAATTAACAACATATCTACTGGTTTTGTAAGTGCAGTCCATCAATATAACGTGAGAGAATAACCGCTAAAGTTTCAGTGAAATAGGAGCGACAAACATCAAATCAGTAAGTGTATCACTGTAGAGTATCATAGTGCCCAGCTCCATAAAGCCTAGATAACTATAAGTTCCCCTTGAGCAGTATTGATTACTGCCAAGGAGTATATATATATATATACACTTATGTATAACAGAAAGATAGAGATAAAAGGTGAATAAATTTAAAGATAAATAGATGAAGAGTATCAGCTCAGTCTTCCAATTTTTACACCAGAGATTCACACTTTCAATATACACCACAAGAGTGCCTCAAAGAAGAACAAATCTTCTTTCTCTCTCAACACACAAACCCTAGTTTACCCAGAATACCACAAAGGAAAGAACAGATCAAGCACTCAAGCTTGCCCACTCACCAAAATCCCAATTTCATAACTCACAAAAGAAAAATTGAGAGATTTAGGTCGAGTCTAGGGTTTTATATGTGTCTTATCCACTTTCAACCTCCATGCCAGTATTTATAGGTACTTAAGTCAAATAGAGCCGGTGAAGGCTGTACTGGAGGGTCAAAATCAGCTATGTACCATGCTCTTTGACCTCCAGCCATTAATCAGTCAAGGCAGTACAAGGGAGGAAGAAGACAGAAGCAGGAGCGGCGGAGAAGAAAAAGTAAAAGCTAGGGTTTCAGAATGAGAGAAAAAAGGAAAGAGAAGAGAGTATTTAAGTGAGGAAATAAACGGTCCAGATTCAGCCAGAAATCCAAAGGATGGATTTGGCTCAGATATGGACTTGGGCTCACTTACTCTTTTGGGCCGCCTAACTCAAATGGTGGTGTATAGAATAAGAGGGTAATTGGGCTCACTGGCCCATAACACATTTGGGCCAAAAACCAACAATCACCAGCTTCGATACGAATATTTATATCGTGTTTCTTGAAGGTCACGTTTTATATCAAAGTCTTCCCTCCCATATTCTCTTTTTTCATCTTCTCAAGTTGGTTGTAGACATGTTTCACACTCGTCGATATCAATTCATTATCCTTTCTCAATCGATCTATAATTAATGTCGGCTTCACATGACTTCTTCTAAGTAACTTCACTATCTCGTATTCTTCTGGTGTCAAACGACCACGTGCCTTAGAGAACGATCGTACACGTTTTCCGTCCTCTAGGGCACGGAAAACTTAAGTTTCCGTGCTGCGGAGGACGATTGTATACTTTCTTTTTCTTTTCTTTTTTAAATTTCCCGTGTGGTGTAGGTTCTCGTACTACACAACACGATAGTATGTAAAAAGAAAATTTCAATATTTCTTCGTTTTTTACCTCGTAGAAGTCATCCGAATCGGGCATTATGTTATTTGTTGTTGTCGGGCAGTTTGTTTATCAAACAAACTTGAAATTCTCTTTTTTCGACTGTTTTTAATTGAGAGGGTTTTGGATTTTTTAGAAAGTTGGAAAAAGGTGAAATGAGAGTACCGCTACAAATAAGCTAATATCAGTAAAAGTTCCGCTGCAATTAACATTTCAGTTAATTTATCAAGATTTTACTATTTTTAATAGTGCTTAGTTCGAATTATTTTTCACAAATGAAATTTAATTAGTGAGTAATTAATCAATGTTATAAAATCATCAAGCTTGCAATGAACCTGTTTTTGGGCACATCATCATCGGCATCCCGGAACACTTTTGTGTATAAAATCTGGCCTAGGGCCCCCAAAATGTCTGGAACGGCCACGAGTAAACATACCAACATTTTTTAAAAATTGGTATCCTTCAAAATTCTGTAAATATAATGTAGAAAAATGTTTTTTCCCCCCTTTTGCTATAGGGGCTACTCACTTGTAAATGCAGCACGAAACACAACCACAATACTGGCTACTAAAAAAATCACGGCGGCGTAACTAAGGAGAACATGGATACGTGACAATGCCCCGCACTAGAAACATGAAAGAAGGATTGTGCGATATCACAATGTTCCCATTCTATCGAAGTAAATATTGACTCAAATGTTGGGCCTCGATCAAATTTAATATTGATTCAAGCCTTCATTAATTCAAACCTAATCATCGAATTATTTCTAGTTAATCTTACTAACCAAGCACAGCCTAGTAGTGAACATTACCTGAAATTTTTTGGCTAGAACATAAAAAACAGAGGTATATTGCTACAAATCGACAACCAGGCGATGAACAATACATACATACCTACTACATAAACTCGAAATTCAAGCAGAACTGGGATTAAAATTTTCGCAATAATTTAAAAAAGAACATTGTAGCTAACAAAAATATAGAGAATTCAAAGATGCAATCCAGCAAAGCAAACAAAACACAGAATCCAAATATCTCCGGTGACTTGGCGCACAGATTATAATTCTAATAGTAACTTGAAATAGCTCTAAACAAAAAGCATTTTTTATGATAACTCGGCTAAATCTAGTAACGCCCGATACCCCACACTCGAACAACACCGTCGGTATAACCGCTGAAAAGGGTGCTTCCATCGGCACTCCAGTTGAGGCAGGTGCAGTATATGATCTACAAACATCAAATTTCAAAAAACATCACTTATTTTGCAATACATACAAACCAATTAGTACTGTACAAAATATCAACGCACGTTTTCACAATTTCAAATACAAAGCCTGAAAATGTATATATACACTAATGACAATAACCAAGGGTTCGATACAAAACATGCAAATGTATACACTAATGACTATCACCAAAACTTCAATGGAAGCTTGCAAATGTATACAATAATGACAAACTTCAATACATTACTGGTCGAAAAATCTGAATCAATTTTGAGGCAATTTTATAAATTATAAGAAAAAAACACAATTAATCATGTCAATTACATGAATAAATTTGAATCCCTTTGAATCACTTTGGAGGCAATTTCATAAACTTGAAGAGAAAAAAACACAATTAATCATGTCAATTACATGAATAAATTTGAATCCCTCTGGACGCAATCAATCGAGAATTCGAATCGCTTTAGATGCAACTTTTTGAAACTAATTGATGATTGTCAACTTAACTTCTACAGAGAAATTTTGACCTTGCAAATCGGAAAAATGTAAACTTGTTCGCAAATTCATCGAACAAACAATCAATACTACCAATAATACAGGGGATGGGGATATATTCGACATATAACAAGAAATTAATTTGCACTTTTGTTAAATTCATCACAGATGAAGCATGAATCAATTAAGTGAATTAAAAAAAAAACAAAATCGAATAAGCGAAAAGAAAAAATGTACCTTGTTCTTGCTAGCAGCGGTTTGGCCATTGCCTTCAGAAATCATCTCGCTCTCCTGCTTCAAGTCCACCTTGAGATCAACAACAACGCTCTTGCTCTCCAAATCCCAAATCTTAATCCCAGCCTCGGTCGCCGCGCAGAGCCAGTACCTATTAGGGCTGAAGCAAACAGCGTGCACAATCGAACCGGCGTCCAACGAGTATAGCTTCTTCCCCTCCGCCAAATCCCACAGCAAAATGAATCCATCTTTGCCACCACTCGCGCAAAGCGAACCGTCGGGCGAAACCGCCACGGTGTTGACGTACCCGGAGTGCCCGGCGAGGGTCGACTTCAACTTGCAATTGGTCAAATTCCAGATCTTGACCGTCTTATCGCACGACCCGGAAACAATCGTCGGCTGGAGATTGTTCGGCGAGAATCGAACGCACGAGACCCAATCGGAGTGGCCGTCCTGATCCTGGATGGTGTACTTGCACTCGCCGAGCGTGTTCCAGAGCTTGATTGTCTTGTCCCGGGAGCCGGAGACGATCTGGCGGTTGTCGACGGAGAACGCGACGGAGAGCACGTCCTTGGTGTGGCCGACGAAGCGGCGGGTGGTGGCGCCGGTCTGGAGGTCCCAGAGGCGGAGCTCTCCGTCCCAGGATCCGGAGAGGGCGAACTGGCCGTCGGAGGAGAGGACGACGTCCTGGACGAAGTGGGAGTGGCCGGTGAGGCGGCGGCGGGCGACGCCGTAGTTCTTGTCCTCCTTGGTCAGGTTCCAGAGGATTAGGGATTTGTCGCGGGAGGAGGTCACGATCATGTCGGAGTTGTCGATTGGGGTGGCGATGGCCGTCACCCAGTCGGTGTGGGCACGCATGGTGCCGCGGAGGATGAGCTGCTCCTGCGCCATTGCCGCTGCTCTTCTGCTACTGTGTGAAATGTGTGTGAGTGAGAGGAAGAAGAGGGAGGCTGAATGGAAGTAAAGAAAACCCTAGTGTTTCACAACGAGTGTTGTTTATATATGATGCGGATTAGGGTTTTGTAATTTGGGTCTGGGTTTGGGTTCTGAAATGAAGTGGGTCGGGTCCAATTACAAGGCTGAATAAAAATAGGTTAAATATAAATTGCACCTTTTGTATTATTGTTACTGTCATATATACCCATTTTTCAATAAAATGCTACAATTTGACCCCTACCCTTCAATTCATGTTGAAGAATTCTTACCATTTTCAAAGTTGACCTACCATTGCACTATATGTTGGACGATTTCGGATGAAAATACATTCTCTCGTGTATATAAAAAGTATGTTTCTTTCTTTCTCTCTTGTACCTAGTTTACTTCCGATTTTTTTCATGTTTCTTCCCTAATTTTATTTTCCACAATCTAAAAACTTCACCTAATTTTCTGAACAAATAGAATTTAGATTCTGAAAAATTATTTATAATTTTCTTTTAAATTTATGAGATTTTGCATTTTTTTTCCAGCCTAAAAATTTTACCCAAAATTTTATTATTATTTCATTTTCAGCCCAAAAATTCTCGATTGAAAATGCAATGCTTCTTCGTACTCCTAATACTCGAAATTCATGCAGTTCAACGTCGAAACAGTGCATTACATATTTTTCTAGAACCACTTATCAATGCAAACGAAGTGCTACGTAATAAAGTAAAAAAATTGTCCAAGTATTAACGTCAAAAAATGTCTATTTATATTATATAAGTGTAAGGGTAAAAAAGTAACTAATGGTATTAGAGATTTGAGGATTAACAGTTAAATTTAGGGGTCACTTTGCCGCATTTTGTAGTAAGGGGTATATATATATATATTTGTATTTAACCATTGAAAATGCCATCGTTTGTTTTACTTGTGTAGAAAAAAGAAAAAAAAAAAACGCCAGTGATAAAAATATAATTTTTTTATGGTAAAAATGTAAATTATTTTATGGTAAAAATATAATTTATTTTTATTCACATATCAAAAATACCAAATACGACTTTTGGGACATATAACTTTATTTTTCGACATTTTAAATGTAATTTGAGAAAATATGATTTTTTTAATGTTTTGTCTCATATGATATAAATGATTTAGTAGATTATGAATAATTAATTCAATATTTTATTTGATAATATTTTATTGATGACTTGCATATGTTGTCATTTATTCTAAATTTAAAATAATCACAAAGGTGTATTTTGTTTCAGAAAATAATATTATTAATGACTTATGCATATTTTATAATCTTTCATTAATGAAATTATTTATAGGGGTAATTTGCTATAGCTTCTCCTATAAGAGATTTTATATGTATAAATCCAACTACTAATCCCCTATTTTTAGGGAAAATTTGCTTGACACCTCTTATTTTGGACTTATATAGGTAGACATCCTAGTTGCTAGATGAATGGAGGCATAGGTCCTTTGACTCAAAAAAATAATATAAATAAAATAAAATAATTAGTGTATATACATAATCACCATCAATTAATAAGAAAACAAATTGCATATCTCTTCTCTCTCCAATCTCACGCTTCTATCATCATATATTTAATCTCTCATCTTTTTCTCTCCTATATGTCTCACGCCTTTCTCCCTCTCTCGAGCTTCTCTGTTTTTTTTTTTCTTTTTCTTTACTTTTTTTATAAAGAAATATTATAGAGAAGGAAAAAATAGGGATTTTTTTTAGATTATGAGATGATTTCTTGGTGGAAGAATTAAAGAGGACAATAAAAATTCATAAATCCAAAATCATAGCCAAAATTCACATTGTGTCTCCCTTATGTAGAACCTTCCCATCGTTTTTGTTGTTAGCAATTTCCGTTTGCAGGTTGGTTTAACTTCATTTGTTGTTTGAAGAATTGCGTTTGATGTTGAGATTCGATTCCTCTGGTTTACAATTTGCAAGGTATGTCTTAAGTTACATTTTACAAACATTTTGTTTAATGTTTTTGTTGTTTGCAAATTATTTCATAAACAATTTTTTGGTTGATGTTTTTAGTGATGCTGATTTTTTTTATTTTTTTTCAGTTTGCTGTTTGCATTTGGCCAAGTCATAGGTAGTTTATTGCTTGCAATTCAATAATGCAAGTTTTTGCTGAAGTTTTTCTTCAATTTGTTGTTTGCATTTGGCGCAGTCATAGGTAATTTTTTGTTTGTAATTCAATAATACAAATTATGGATTTTGTTTTTTCAGTTTGTTGTTTGCATTTCGCGAAATCATAGGAATTTTGTTGTTTGCAATTCAATAATATAAAATCTAATTTTCAGTTTGCTATTTGCAGTTTGCGGAGTCATAGGCATCGTAGTTCGCGGACCATAGGCGGTGGTGGGGCTGCGGTGGCGTTTTTAGAGTATGAGTTTGTAAAATAAATTGTATATTTTTGTTATGAATTAATTTATTTGTTTTAGTTAATATTTGGAAGATAGATGTTTGGGAATTTGTTTTGATAGAGAGATTTTTTGGATTTGATTTGATTTAATTAAGGGTATTTTTGCCATAATAAATCTTATTAATTTATTAAAATATTAAATTTTGACTTGGATTTACACACCTTATAATATAGAGGGACCTGGGTTCAAAAAAAAAAAATATAGGGACCTATAGCAAATTGCCCCCTATTTTTATTATATTTATTATTTTTATAGTGTCTAAAATACACCTAATAAAATATGGAAAATAAAAATCTCCAAATAATAATCCATTTTATAGAGGTTTTTAATCCCACTTTTCTTCCGAGAAAACATCGTTGCAAATCTTCATATCCCAAAATACGATTTTATATTTCTTTCATCTTCTCCTACGCACAAGCAGAAAACAACAAAAAATTGTCTTCGTTTGTTGTTTGTTTATCGTTCCTTTGATTTTTTGTCGTTTTTTAATTGAAATAAAAAACCCTAAATTTGTTTGTTTGTTGTTCACCATCCTTGTAACGCCAAGTCGAAGAACTTCAATATCAAACAACATGGTGCGGAAACGTAAAAGTTCGGGTAATTAATTCCGTTTTATTTCTCCAATTTTTTTAGATGTTTTGATGGTGATTTAATGACCCATTGTTGGTATTTTTATCTCAGGGAAAAAAATATTGATATTGGAGCATCGATCGAATTATTCACACATTTTAAAGGTTTGGATTTATATTTTGTATGATTGTTTACCGTATTTTTACATTCTTGTTTGCAAATTTTTTCTGTTGGTTGTTGATGTTTATTTGTTGTCGTTTGTGTTGTTATTTGAAATTTGCATTTTATTGTGCATTATTGAACCATCGTGTTTTTGTTTTTTTGTTGTTCTTGTGGTATGCATTTTGTTGTTCTTGATTTCTTTATTTTGTGGATGTTCATGTGGCCTGCTATTGTTTGCAGTTTGTTACTTGTTTGCAATCGAACCATCATTTTCTTGTTTGCAGTTGCCTGTTACACTTTGAATTTCTTATTTGTAATTTTCTATTTGAAATTTTCTTGTTTGCAGTTGCTTGTTACACTTTGAATTTCTTATTTGCAATTTTCTATTTGAAATTTTCTTGTTTGCAGTTACTTGTTTACACTTTGAATTCATTGTTTGTAATTGCAGTTATTGTTTTTAATTTGCTATTTTTTGTTCATTTTTGCAATTTTTTGTTTGCAATTTAAAGTCTTACTTAGTTTTATTTTGTGTGTGCTAAAACAACTACGTCAAAGAAAAAGAAGAAACAAGGCATTAAATGACTCTTCGACGTCTTCCAAAAGAGAAAAAACAAGAGCGAATTAGATTGCAAACAAAGTCCTCACAGAACAAGTTATTACAGAAGATCCATGAATCCCACAATACTCACTCAAATCTCGTTTCACTTGTTCACATCTTCAACCGACATAAATTCAAAGAACACCACATTAAATGTGTTCAGAAAAGTTGTATCTTGAAGTATTTTGTACTTAATGTACTAATTTGCTTCTATACAAAAAATAGTTTTTTGGTGTTTGTTATAACATCTTTTATTTTGTATTTCGTGTTTTGAAACTATTTCATATTGCTCGAGTAAAAAATGCACTAGGGGCAGTGTTGGTTATTGTTTGTGTCTACTATGTTTGTTGTTTATTGTTTGTGTTTGCCGTTTACTTTTTATTATTTGCGTTGTTATTTATTGGTTATGTTATTTTAAATTATAAATTGCAATTTGCAGTTTTCTATTGTATATTGCAAATTTATTTTGATTGTTAATTTTTTTTTTTTGCTGAAGTAAAAACAATTAGAAAATGCAAACATAAAAAAAATGCAATACCGTCGAAAAATACGAAATAACAATTAATATTAAAAAATATATGGTTTAAAGAAAGTTGATTAGTGAAGATTGCTATAAGATATTTATGGAAATAAAATAAAAGTTTTTTTTTAACAAGAATTGAAAACTAAATTTCACAATAACTAGTGGCTTAAGAGAGAGAGAGAGAGAGAGAGAGAGAGAGAGAGAGAGAGATAGAGAGGCGTGGGGTGTGGGGGAGAGTGGGGGTTGGGGAGAGAGAGAAATATATATTATGTATGTGTTAGAAAGAGAGAGATTTGTGGGATTTGTTCCCTGAATTTCCAAAATAACTATTTACATATAAATATTAATTGAAGGTTATTTATGTCTATACACTAATAATTTTATTTTATTGGTCAATGGACGTACACCTATATTCATTTAAGTATATACAAAATATTTTATTTTATTTTATTTGAATAGCTCTCTATCTTTATAAGTCCAAAATTAGGGGTGTCTAATCAATTTCCCCTTATTTATATATTAGATAAATTTCTCCTATCATGAGAATTGTCACAAAACCCAAAACAATTTGCATCAACGTTCGAAATGTTTTTAAATATAATTATTTTAATAGATAAAGTGTTTGTGAAAAAAATATTCAATTTAACTTATTACCTAAAATCTTATGAAATGAGGCTCGTAGTCGCGATCCCTCCATTTTGGCTCAATTTTTACAATTTCTTTTTAAAGATGCTCTATATTTCTTTCTTTTATT